CTCCACCAATATTTCCGAATTTTGTCAAATGCAATGAATGCAAACGTGCATAGGCCTCCGAATTGGCCAGATCTAACTCCATTAGACATGGCAGGCCGCAACTAAGCGGGCCAGGCCGAAAAAGAGGTGTCAAAACACTAACTCAACCATTTCCTGTGGTCTTCTCATTAAGCCTGCTGATGTTAACCAGTTGCTTACATAAAAACCTCCCGAAACACACACGTAAATACCGCCGATAATCATCATCGAATCGATTAATCGGGCAACAAGTTTACGAAAACAACGCCGACGAAGTGAAATCGGGCCAATAAGCCGTTCATAGTTTCATCATGAATAAATTACTATATGTAGGTATATGTATATCGCGTAGCAGAACACACACAAATTCGGACCTGAGCGAGCGAAGGACCAAAAAATCGACGATTTCCAAATGGCTCGAACCGATGGTTTTTCCCAAATGCAATCCACCTTCGCAGCTAAAACGGGAACCAGCAGCGCCATAACAAAAATATAAAAATAACAAGTTTCCGAAAAGGTCAAGAGCGGAGGTTCGTCGTCTTCGGTTGCCGCCACGGAATTCTTTTCGAAATGACATTTAACAGTGAATAATGGCTGGTTATAGGTCAAAGGTACGGCTTTGAAGGAATATCATTAGGTGCACATAGTTTTGTATGGCGCAACAGTCCATTGCATTCGGGATTAAATCGCTCATATATCAGACGGCTTAAAGATCCTAAAAACTCCACTTACCAATTCAGCAGGGAACATTTGCAATTCTTGACTAGTCCTGGTTGTTTTGTCCTCCTGCACCTGACTCCAAGACAAACTTATTATATCTGCCATCTAAATCCATTCCAAACGGCGTCAGCTACAGTTTTTATATCCAAACACAAGTATAGTGCCTCTTTATTGCCTAGACGTTCAACGCGAATAAAACAAGTAAAGACGCAAAAAACATCGATGTTCCATTAGTTGTTTAAAGTGCCTCTTATTGCACGTGCCTTACTCATCTTAACCCTCACTAGCCCAATTTATTCCCAACTAGCCCCTTTATTGGCTAAACATTTTTGAAACCCCATACTTAATTGAAGTGCTTCGGATATTCGCCTCAGTGGCCTGTGAATGAATAGTTATAGTAGCCTCTTTATCAGCCCGTGTACTAGATATACTTTTATGTAATCGCTATATAAAATCTGTTGCTTGTTGCATGTGGATACTGAATTATCTGCAATATTTTGCCCAAATTTTGTTTAAAATATTTCTTCAGTTAGCCTCATTATCGCCTGCCCTCATCTCGCCTGTCTGCGGGTACACGATGCGAATAATTTTTTTGTGACTGACTTGCAAAAATGCCTAAGAATTTAGCCTTAGAATCAATACGTTTTCGATACACTACGTACAATTTCCATTCTACGCAGCCCCTTTATTACAATGGCTAAATATCACTTGCTCTCTTCGACGTCTAGCCCTATTATCGTCCCTCTATCCTTTAAATGTGCAACCTAATTTTCCTGTGAACTGTTATAGATGCGATAGTAAAAAAACAGCTAAATTTATCAAAGAAATATTCTCAAATACTTGCCTTTTATCGGCTAAACATCTAGGGTACGTTTGCTTCACGCTATTAAAACAAATAATGCCTTTTATTAGGCGTTTACAGCCTCATTTGTGAATTTTACTCGCTGCATTTGGACACTGAAGCATTTTTCAGCTTTTTGCTCAAATTTCTGTGAAAATTCTTCTCCACTTAGCCCCTTTATTGCCTCTCTACCGGTACAGGATGTAAAATCCAAAAATGCAAAAACGCCAAGGAATTTAGCGTTACAACACAGCCCTTTTATTATTGAATAAGTATTACTTGATTTCTTTTTGTCTAGCTGCCTTATCGTCCAGTTTAAATATGCAATTTTAGACTATTTTGAACTTCTTTTGGTTCAGTTATATCGGAACACTGAACTATTATTCAATTATATGCCAAAGTTTAAAAAAATCTTCTCCAGTTAGCCCCTTTATTGCCTCTGCAGTCGAAGGAAGCAAACACTTTAAAGACCTTTACGGTCAATCAATTCGAAAAATTCCTAAGAAATGAGCTATAGAATCTATATATTTCTCTGTATTCTTTGCCTAGCCCCTATATTGCCATTTTGCTGTGTACATATTAACATTTGTCATTCAATAAATCAATCGTGCTCCTATATTTTACAAACAAAATATTCAGAAATTTGTCCATAGAGCCCCTTTATTCGACTTCAATTTACCAAATTTTACCCAACAAGCGATAACATGCTATCTTCCATACTCGAGTCTAGATAAAGGCTTCTCTATACAGCCCCTTTATTGGGCGCATCCACAGCCTCAAATCGGAAATTGGGCTTTATACGTGACAAAATCTAGTCAATTGGCTCCAGAGAACTGAGAACAATTTATGCCTCTTTCCAGCCCCTCATTGATCGCACCTTAAATGGCTTATTGTCTGAGTCTCAAAATGCAAATGCTTGCAAAACCCCCCCTAACAATCATTGAGCCTTTAAGCATTGCTGCTGCACTTCACAGCCTCTTATTATAAGTTGCGGAATATTGAGAGCTTTTGCCTTAAAACTGCACGAAACCAGGCAATATTCTGCCACAATCGCGCGTTGTTGTCTCGAAAAGTTCAACAGTCGACCAAGCAGCCAACCGTTGAGCAAACAAGTGGATTTTTCGAAAGGCATCTAGCAAAACTATCCGCAGCACTAAAGCAACCTGAAAATCAAATTAATTTTCTATATTTTCTTCCCCATTTCTTCTGCAGCCTTTCATTTCGTTGCTTTCGAATGGAGAATCGATTGCACGTTCTTTGAGCGTGTTGGAAAAAGCCTTTTGGTTGGAATTCGGGCAATTAGGTGAAAGCGAGTGAGTGATGCGAACTCAAAGTGTTTCGACCAAAAGGAATTTGACTGGAAATTCAATTAAACCGACAGTGTAAAAATAATAACTGAATCGTATTAGGCAACAAGGCTGCGCATTGTTTGGGATTCCATGGGAAGAAAGCATGACTGCAACTGAATTTATCGTCAGTGTTTAGGAATTTTTAACAACGGTTTAGGTGGAATAACTGTATGGGTTTGGTTGGGTTTTGTGGGAAGATGCGCTCCGAGTTACTGATGGTGAACTTATTCAAACAGTCGAAACTGAAAATAATTCACAAATATGTTTTCTTTCGCGCAA